GGGCCGGGAGCGGCCGAAATGGTCACCCTGCGAGAGGGAACTTGTCGTGTGTCCCCGTGGACACAGGTTATGGGGAGGAAGGCTTTACACTCCGTTTGGGGGGCGAGAATATGCGACTGGACCAGAGTGACTGCCCTGCCCGTGTCCATGATGGCCCGGAATGACTTTCCATTCAGTTTCACTTCCACTTTTGGCGCTCCAACCGGCAGGTCGCGGTGCACAATGCAGCCTGCCAGCCAGGTCCGTGCGGGGACTTCCGTTGGCATGGGCTCATCCCGCTGGGAGGGAGCCGCCGGCCTGCGCACTGGTCGCGGAGTGCCCTCCGGTGTGCGCCGCTCCTGGACCACCCTCCGGGGAAATGGCGGCGCTCGCTCCCCAGCATCCCGGTGTTGGGCCGCATCCACCAGCTCCGACGTGGTGGTTGGGTTCCTCATCCCAACGGCCTGTCGGTGAGATCGGGGAAGGGCTTGGAGAAGACGGTTTATCACAATGCACTCCGCCACCTGTCCAGCCGATGGAGCCCCCTCCAGCAGCCAGTGCTGCGCGAGTCGTGTGAGTTTGGCGGCCTGGGCACGGGCCGGCAGACAGGGCTTATCCTCCTACTCGTGGAAGTGGTGGGCGGCACAGATAGGGGATAACCCCAGGCGGGCTAGGATTTCCTTCTTGACCTCCTTATATTGATCGGCGGAGGCGGCGGGAAGAGTGAAGTATGCACGCTGCGCTTCGCCCGTCAGCAGGGGAGCCAGCACCCGTGCCCAGTCATCCTGATGCCACCCTTCCAAGGTGGCCGTCGCTTCGAACATTTGTAAGAAGGCTTCTACATCATCATGAGGGGTCAGCTTGGGTAGCAGCTTCGCGGCTTGCACTTGGGGTTCTGGCAGCGGCACGCAGTGCCGCGAGTCCCGGCTCTGTCTCTCCTTGATGGGTGCTCAACAATTTGTTGCTGGCGGATGCTAACCTCGGTGAGCCGCTGGAGGATTTCGTCCATGGTAGGGGAGGAGCGCTCGCCTGTGACAGAAACCGGAGACAAAAACAAGGAAAAAAAGGTGAGGTGAAGAAGATCGCTTGTCGGTGATTCTTCACTGATTTGCCCGCATTCTCCACCAGTGTAACGGGGTGAAGAATCACACGATAAGAAAAATGCTCATGAAAAATGGGGGCAAAAACAAAAGTGTTGAGTTTATAATTTTGTTCAGTGTATATTTAAATAGGGTCATCGCGTATGCTGGAAGACTTGTTCGGCACTTCAGTCACAGTACTGTAGCTACCTAAGCACTATGGGACAAACAGGTAGAGATGAAACTATCACCACATCACCTGATACAGTCCTGCAAGACAAGGTAGAACACGGTCAGTGACATGTTCACCCGGCTTGTGGAACAAAGGCCTGACCCACTGTCACCAAGTTCAGATTTCTTGAGCTCAAAGATGAATACTGGCAGCTGAGGGAGAACGTGGCACTTGTGTTGGCAGCATTAAAGTGTGACACGTCCACCGAATCTGAAGTGTCTATCTCAAATATCTCTACCCTATCGCTTTCTTACAGTCCCAACTTACGAAAATCGAAGAGGACAGCGCTTGGGTTTTGGGGTACAAAACAAAAGTGCATGACACATTGGCACAACAAATGCATGTAAGAGCCGTTTTGAGGGGAAAAAAATCATATAAAAAATAGTGTATACATCTCCTAATTATTCAAATTGATTGCACTACCATCAAAATCATCCATGATAGTGATAATGCTAGTTCCAGACACAGCTGTTAAAGGGGCTCTTATGCAGGGTTTCTCATCCATCAGAACTCATCCATGGCTCCCAGCATGCACAGCAGCGAATGTTTTGAAAAAAGTCAAGGGTCAAGCACTCAATTAATTACTAATCACTAAGGGTAACTCAAGAATAGATGTTCTTTAGGTGAACTTTACATTTTCAACAAAACATCAACATTGACTACAGCTAAACCTCTGTTAATGCTCAATAAGAAATTTTATAGACATATGAAAGCAATAATAAAATCAAACTGTGTTATAGGATAGTTGGACCCCTGGGTGCTGTTGGAGAAACTTATTCATTGAGTGCAATGTCACTTTTATCACCATATCTGCACATTAAACTCAAAGTCAGACAAACCATTTGTGTTGTTCAAATTACTGGACCGACAAAGAGAAAATGTCAGTCATTTGTGTTGTTGTGTTTAGTTATCTTATAAGTGCAATGCTTGTATTTTATTTTGCTGTGAAGATTTGTGTACATGCCTGAAGAGTGTGTAAATGTGATGGATGGTTGTACTTACCTGTGAATGGTACATCTTTAGAAGAGGCGGAGTGTGGCCTATAAAGAGGGAGGCCATACTCACATTCTGTGCTTGTTTACCAAGTCGATGCGAGCTTGCAACTGCGGTGCCATGAGCAAACCCTTCCAAAGGACACCCTCAATCTGTGTATATACAGTGTGTATATACGTCTTCCATCTTTATTTTCTAGTTTGCTGTTGCTGTGCTACTTTGATATTTGTTTGTTCTTAAGCATTTTGTATATAATTTCACACCTTCACTCATGGAACTTCAAGTATTTTTTCAGTGCTGCAAATAAATTAAAACTTGCACAACAGTGCTATTGTAGGTAGAGCCATCTTTTTTCTCTCTTCCCACAAATGAACCCGTCACACTACATGGTTTTGCTACACTGACCATAGTTTAACCATGGGATTTGTAGTAAAACTGTGATCATACAAATGGTAATCAATACGCCAAAAAAACATTGTTACTACACTTTTACTACAATAAAACCATGGTTCGTTTTCATACGGGTCATGGCACATCAGCTACCAAACATTTAAATTATATCTACCATTTTAGTCAAAGAGATATATTAACTGATATTAATGTTTTCACTAACCCTGTGCACTGACTCAGTAAAAGACAAAGATATTAAACCAATGTATAGTATTTTTATTTGTTTATTGCCCGTGCAAAAATGAATGTATAGAAATAATGTGTGGCCTAAATCATGTCCATCACAAGCTTAGATGAATGTTATGGTGTGTTTCCCAGTGTATTTCACTTTGTGTCTACGGCTCCACTGGAGCAATCAGATATTTTTCTTTCCTGATTCCTGTCTAACATCATCAGAAATTTAAATGTACTATACCGATTGATAGAAATGTTAAGAAACGGTCTCCTGATGCAATCAAGACGTTAATGGACTGCTTACAGAACATTGATTGCTCTGTTTTTGAGGAGTTATGCCATGATTTGGATGAGCGCAGGGATGTGGTCGAGATGGTGTGTATTCCTTCCAAGACTGTTATCATATACATCAGCATGCTTTAACAAGAAGATAAAAAGTTTACAGAGAGAGAAGCACAAGGCTTGTATGACTGGGGATACAGGGCCGTAAATGTGAAAAATAGCAAAAGGCGATTGTAAGAGTAAGCTAGAAAATATATTAAGGGCCAAGAAACATCCTCAGCAGACCACAGGCCATTAGATAACAGCTTCAGTCACCTCATTGTCTGATGATAGCCAATTTAACAACACGACTGAGGGACAGGTAGGTCTGTTAACACTGCTAGTCCCATGACTCACTCTTTGTGAGTGAAGAATATCAAGTTAGGAACCTGCTGCGTATGCAGAAAAAAAAGCAGGGCCAGACTTCAAATCAGCTGCATTTCTAAAGTGAGATGTTAACACTCTTGCACCAGTATGATATTTTCAGCTGACTCTTAAACGTATGCAGAGTTCCAGCAGGTTTCAAAGCTGGATCAAATTTAGATGGTCAGGAAAACGGTTGAGCGATTGGTACTCAGACACCTAATTTCCATACTACTAAACCTCTGCTTTTAATACAATTGTTCCAGTTACACTTTCTGATAAGTTAGAGCGATTGGGTATGCAGCACTTCCTTGCTCGTTTGATTCTTAATGGTCTGCTAAATAGATTGCAAGTAGTCAACACCATCCAGTTTTCAAATTCAGGGTTAATAAGTGTGGAAGCTGTGTATTGCCAAAACTATTGTATTCTACACTCTCAGAAAAAATCAGCAAAAGTTGTACTTTTAGGGGTACGACAGCTCATCACTGGGGCAGGGACGGCTCCATCTTTCAGTATCATGCATGATGTGCAAATCCATCGCAGAACTGGGCCTTGTTTATAAAACGTTCTTCACCGGAATGACGGGAACAAACAAACACACTTGCGAAACTCTGTTGCTGCCCGGGAAAATCAAACTGCATCCACTGTTCACGTAACGCTGGGTTCTTTGGGAAGCTGAACAAGGTTATCTTTCCCTCACAACCAAAAACACACTCCTTTAGAGGCATTTTTCATGAGTGAGTTGATGGGCTGCTCTTGCTCTCGCTCCGGTCGATGTGTGCGTTCTTCCGGGATAAATGCCTATACAAGGATTTCCACCCTTCATGGCGTCATACAGGGCCATGCTTGAAAAAAAACTTTCCCTAACTTATACGAACCTAGAAGGAGTGAATTTGGCACAATCATACGTCCAAAGCGTTTTTTGAAACTTTGTTTTAGTATGAGAGTCCATCTCTTTAATAGTGTAAATAACTCAGAATGCATGAATTAGTCCTCCCTTTTAAAAACAAAGGAAATGGTGTTTGACTTCCAGCAGAGACTAAATGTGTTTCTGCCTTTAACCATCAGTGATCAGGATATTGAAATGTACATTGCTTCAAGTTTCTTGGGAGTATCAGTGCTTCATCACTGAAACTAGACACTAGAAACTAGACTCTTCTTAAGACAGCTTAAGCTTTTAATGAAGCAATGATAGAAGGTCTTATTTAATTACATGGTCAGTGTTTTGATGTCTCACATAATTAATATGAAGACGTATGGAAGTGTAATGCCGTCCAGAATGCTGGAACTACTTCTAGCTGTGCAGTAACTGGAAAATTAACATCAGGTAATTTAACTTATATCAGTTATAACCTGCTCTTGCTACGGCATTAAACGAGATTCATATATTTGTTTAACTTGCAGTTCATCTTTACTGAGTGCATGACAGTTATGCAAGCAGCAATGTTTTCAGAAAATTGAGTGAAGCTGTGACATCTCCATTAATTAAACAATATACAATTATTATTAAATAGTCTGTCACACTTTGAACATCCGATTCTAGGTTTACTATTATTTTATTTCATTATCGTCACTCTCTTTTTTTGTTGATATGTCTCTTCTTTTGACACTTTGCACACATTTCGTCTGTTGGTGATGCTCAAATGCAGAACTATTTGAAACAGTAGTGTTATATTACAGTAGTGTCAATCCTGGCTGTTGATGTCCTGATGCTTCATTCTCTCGGCTTCTTCTTCAAATGCAAGGTTCTCATAAATGTGTTGTGTCTGAATCTCCGGCTCACTGTCTGATGGACGTCCAAGAGCTGCGGTCATAAAGACAAATCATTAACCCCCAGCCATCAGTAAACAGCAGATTCACATCAGTCCAGCACGCCACTGATAACGGCAAAGACCGATAGCTCACTGCTGGATCTGTTCTTCTTTTATTCATTTAGATTTTCTTATTTATGCATCACCCTTTCTCTACAGCGGAAATACATTTTCATTTCAGAATCAGAAAGAGCTTTATTGCCGAGTGTGATTGCACACACAAGGACACATTTATTTATTAATTCATTTGTTTGTTTGGTTGATAATGAAGCATCCAGTCCACACATTATTAACACTTCAGTATAGGGACCAACTCTCACTATTATCTGGTTGCTTATTAGCATGCCTATTATTAACATGTTGGCTGCTTATTAGTGCTTATAAAGCATTAATTCTGCATGACCATAATATTCTATAACCCTTAACCGAATCCAATACCTAAACCTAACTACCATACTAACTATTAATAAGCAGCAAATTAGGAGTTTATTGAGACAAAAGTCGTAGTTACTGGTTTGCTAATGGTGAGAATTTGTCTCTTAAAATAAAATGATTTTTTTCTGTTGACACAATTATGTACATATTTATTACTTTTATGTATTTATATACTGTGTTAATTGTATTTATAGTCATTCTCCAGTATATGACCTTTAGTCCAATCTTTTTTTTTTTTGTATGATTGCATAATTTTTCTGGAAGTACTATTTTAATTTGTCTTATTTTATTGTGTTTTTACTAAATGTGTTTGCTGTTTGGAAAATGGCACAGTCCTTGATTCTTGAGCATCGGCACTCAGTATTAAATATATTATTAATATATGCATTAATGCAAACTGTGTCTTTTTAACCAGCAAGCCTTGAAAGACTATTCATGACAATGTTATTATTTAATTACCAGTCAGCAGGCAATAATATAAAACAGACCAATGAAACGCCATAATCTGTTGCCATTTAAATGTATGTGTGAAATGTCAAATACTTTTGTTATCAAATTTAAATATTACATAAAATGTATCAAATTAATTAATTAAATTAATGACCTAATACTCACTTTCATAATCATTAAAATGTTTATTTTATATTTAATTAATGGTTTAATAAAAAATAAAAAAATAAAAAGAATAAAAGTATAGATGTCCACATACGGAACTTCCAGAAAGTTTATTAGTAAAATAGTGCAATATTTACTACACTGATGAAGAGATGACTGGTTGAAAAGCTGTGCTGTTTTACTAATAAACTTGCAGGAGCTATGAGCACATCTACTTCACTGCTAAAAGATGTACTACTATGCAAGAAAACAAAATGTCTGTTATAAAAATTGCTAGAGTTTGAATGTGTTTAGAGAAAGCATATTTCCATGCAATGAAAAGTGTTTTGTTGTTCATCTCTCTCAGGTAATCCACTAATCATCACAGAAGAACAGAACTGAACAGAGAAGAGAGCAGATGTGGACTCACTGTCTGTGTTTTGGCTGTCTGGTGTGTGGAGCTGCTCTGTCCGGATCACAGCGAGACGGAACGTGTCACTCGATGAAGGTGGATCATCGCTCTCCTCATCAATCTAAACACATACAGCAACAAACTGTAAATCCCACACCATCCATCATGCCTGAATGTAGACGACTCTGCTGGTTTGGCCAAACTCACCTTGTATTTGAGGATGTGAAATTTACACATGGGGCAGGTGGGGTGTTCCAGCAGCCATGGCTCAATGCACTTCTTATGGTATAAGTGTCTGGAAAAGAGTTTTTTTCTGTTGACACAATTATGTACATATTTATTACTTTTATGTATTTATATACTGTGTTAATTGTATTTATAGTCATTCTCCAGTATATGACCTTTAGTTCAATCTTTTTTTTTTTTGTATGATTGCATAATTTTTCTGGAAGTACTATTTTAATTTGTCTTATTTTATTGTGTTTTTACTAAATGTGTTTGCTGTTTGGAAAATGGCACAGTCCTTGATTCTTGAGCATCGGCACTCAGTATTAAATATATTATTAATATATGCATTAATGCAAACTGTGTCTTTTTAACCAGCAAGCCTTGAAAGACTATTCATGACAATGTTATTATTTAATTACCAGTCAGCAGGCAATAATATAAAACAGACCAATGAAACGCCATAATCTGTTGCCATTTAAATGTATGTGTGAAATGTCAAATACTTTTGTTATCAAATTTAAATATTACATAAAATGTATCAAATTAATTAATGAAATTATTGACCTAATACTCACTTTCATAATCATTAAAATGTTTATTTTATATTTAATTAATGGTTTAATAAAAAATAAAAAAATAAAAATAATAAAAGTATAGATGTCCACATACGGAACTTCCAGAAAGTTTATTAGTAAAATAGTGCAATATTTACTACACTGATGAAGAGATGACTGGTTGAAAAGCTGTGCTGTTTTACTAATAAACTTGCAGGAGCTATGAGCACATCTACTTCACTGCTAAAAGATGTACTAGTATGCACGAAAACAAAATGTCTGTTATAAAAATTGCTAGAGTTTGAATGTGTTTAGAGAAAGCGTATTTCCATGCAATGAAAAGTGTTTTGTTGTTCATCTCTCTCAGGTAATCCACTAATCATCACAGAAGAACAGAACTGAACAGAGAAGAGAGCAGATGTGGACTCACTGTCTGTGTTTTGGCTGTCTGGTGTGTGGAGCTGCTCTGTCCGGATCACAGCGAGACGGAACGTGTCACTCGATGAAGGTGGATCATCGCTCTCCTCATCAATCTAAACACATACAGCAACAAACTGTAAATCCCACACCATCCATCATGCCTGAATGTAGACGACTCTGCTGGTTTGGCCAAACTCACCTTGTATTTGAGGATGTGAAATTTACACATGGGGCAGGTGGGGTGTTCCAGCAGCCATGGCTCAATGCACTTCTTATGGTATAAGTGTCTGGAAAAGAGAATTTTCATTACAGTTTTTTCATTAAAAAAATAAAAAATAAATAAAAAAACAATAAAAACACAATAAAGTTTGATTAGTTAGTGTTAGTTAATGCATTAACTGATACTAAACTAAATATGAGTAATATGTTTGTTACAGTATTTACTAATCTTTGTTAATGTTAGTAAAAATACAATTATTCACTGTTAGTTCATGTTAGCTCAGGTCCTTCATCTAATTTTAACAGATGCAACATTTGATTTTATTAATGTCTTAATTATTGTTGAAAATAGCTTGAACTGAGATCAATAAATGTTTTAAACTTTTCATATTTTTTCTAATTTGCTCATTCATGTTAACAAATATAGTTAACTAATGCTAGCAAATGGGACCTTATTGTAAAGTGTCACCAATAAAATGACAACATTTTTATATTTAATGCCTTCTCTAAAGACATGCCTCATGTGTAGTACACTCATTCAACAGAATCTCTGCTTGATATAATATCTAATCTCTGACAAAAAGCAAGTTACCATAGTGAAGATAGCCAAAATGCATGGGAATTCAAATGCTGTACTGACACTGATGTTATGAAATGTCTGTGATGTTGATGTTGCCCTCATACTGCACCTGCAGGGTAAAACGGTGACCTTTTCATTGTGTTTGAACGAGTCAGTGCACACAACACAGCTCACGTCCTCCGATTCCACCTCCTACAAACACACAGACAAACTCAAATACTAACTTGGAAGTTTTTAGAATTGCATGGAAAAACATTGTGTCCTGTTATAGACAGGATAGACAGCATATTGTGCTCCTTCCTGCAAAAAAAAGGATCTCTATGAAGAATTTCAGTCAGGTTTCAGGCCCCACCATAGCACAGAAACTGCACTTGTTAAAATGACAAATGACTTGCTTCTTGCGTCAGACCAAGACTGTATCTCATTGCTAGTTTTACTTAGTGCTGCGTTCGACACAATAGATCATGACATACTGGTTTTCAAGGGCAGGCTTTAAGATGATGTGTGGAGCTGCTCTGTCCGGATCACAGCGAGACGGAACGTGTCACTCGATGAAGGTGGATCATCGCTCTCCTCATCAATCTAAACACATACAGCAACAAACTGTAAATCCCACACCATCCATCATGCCTGAATGTAGACGACTCTGCTGGTTTGGCCAAACTCACCTTGTATTTGAGGATGTGAAATTTACACATGGGGCAGGTGGGGTGTTCCAGCAGCCATGGCTCAATGCACTTCTTATGGTATAAGTGTCTGGAAAAGAGAATTTTCATTACAGTTTTTTCATTAAAAAAATAAAAAATAAATAAAAAAACACAATAAAAACACAATAAAGTTTGATTAGTTAGTGTTAGTTAATGCATTAACTGATACTAAACTAAATATGAGCAATATGTTTGTTACAGTATTTACTAATCTTTGTTAATGTTAGTAAAAATACAGTTATTCACTGTTAGTTCATGTTAGCTCAGGTCCTTCATCTAATTTTAACAGATGCAACATTTGATTTTATTAATGTCTTAATTATTGTTGAAAATAGCTTGAACTGAGATCAATAAATGTTTAAAACTTTTCATATTTTTTCTAATTTGTTCATTCATGTTAACAAATATAGTTAACTAATGCTAGCAAATGGGACCTTATTGTAAAGTGTCACCAATAAAATGACAACATTTTTATATTTAATGTCTTCTCTAAAGACATGCCTCATGTGTGGTACACTCATTCAACAGAATCTCTGTTTGATATAATATCTATTCTCTGACAAAAAGCAAGTTACCATAGTGAAGATAGCCAAAATGCATGGGAATTCAAATGCTGTACTGACACTGATGTTATGAAATGTCTGTGATGTTGATGTTGTCCTCATACTGCACCTGCAGGGTAAAACGGTGACCTTTTCATTGTGTTTGAACGAGTCAGTGCACACAACACAGCTCACGTCCTCCGATTCCACCTCCTACAAACACACAGACAAACTCAAATACTAACTTGGAAGTTTTTAGAATTGCATGGAAAAACATTGTGTCCAGTTATAGACAGGATAGACAGCATTAGCAAAGTCCACTAAAGGAGGTAGAGCTTTTTCCACATTTGGCTCCCAAACTCTGGAATAGCCTTCCTGATAACGTTTGGGGTTCAGACACACTCTCTCTGTTTAAATCTAGATTAAAGATACATATCTTTAGCCAAGCCTTCACATAATGTATCTCATAACCTTCAGTTACATCTGATCAAATGCACATTTTCATTATTTTGCTTGGGTTGAACACATAATTGTTGCTTGGTTGGAACAGCAGTTACGCACATTTTTTTCTATTACCTTCTCTGTTTCTGCCACGGGATTGGCATCCCGAGGTAACTAGGAATTACAGAAGCTTCAGTCTGGATCCAGCCCTTACAAAGACCTGAGATGACCGAACACCTGAGAAGAGATGATGCCAACCCCTCAGACAACATACAAAACTACCCAATTTTGCTGTAATGGACATCAACTTGAGATAGTCTCCCCTGATAAGCTCTTACTAAATATAATGTAGAATCTTTAATTTTCTGTAAAGCTGCTTTGCAACGATTTGCATCGTGAAAAGTGCTATACAAATAAACTTGAATTTAATTACAGTTTTTTACGATTGCTTACACACTAAAATTGAAAATGACACACAAAACCATACATTTGAGAAGCAAAACCTCAGCCCAGATCTGCACAACTATAAGCACATTCTCAGCCTCACACTTTTTGCAAAACACTAAACACGCTTTTCTACATTAGACACAGAAATCTAACATAATGCCACTTCTTTGCCATTTCAAGACACTGCTTTCCAAAATGCCACCCCTATAAACCAATTGATTAAACATGGCTGTCAGGTGTGCAGACACTTAGGTGCTTAACTGTAAACGCAACGATCAGGTGTAAGCACTATAAAAAGGCAACAGGTGAGTTTACCTGTCTTCAACAAAAATGGAAGGCAATGTCCGAGTAACAGGGAGAGGAAGAGGTAGACCTGGAGGATGGGGACAAAGAAGACGGGGTCTGAATTTATCAGATGCTATTCGAGCAACCTTGGTTGACCATGTTGTAAACCATGGGTTGACATTGAGAGAGGCTGGGCAGAGAGTTCAGCCCATCCTCAGCAGATATACTGTTGCTACAGTAATTTGGACATTTCGACAAGAGCATAAGGTAAAAAAACAACTTTTCTCTGCTGTCTACAGTACAACATAACCTACTATATGACCTCCATCAGTACTATTTGGTACCATTCACTGTGTTCCATGTTGGATACTATGTCTTGTGTGCTGTCTTGTGACATTTACTGTAACATGTATTTTGATTGATCTGCATAGGATTGAGGGTCGAGAATGTAGAGGAGGAAGGGGCCCCATATTCACAGAGGAACAAGAGAGCGCTATCATAAACATGGTTTTGGCCAATAATGCGATACGTCTCAGAGAAATTCAGACAAACATCCTGAATGACCACACAGTTTTCAATGTCCATCAGGTCTCTCTATCAACACTGGGGTGAATCCTTAAAAAACATCACATGATACAGATTGAACAAATCTACCGAGTGCCATTTGAAAGAAATTCTGAAAGAGTAAAAGACCTACAGCATGAATATGTGGAGGTAAGTTATGTACACTTCAATATTGTCCACTGCACACGGAACCGGTTTACATGTTCTCTTTTTTTTTCATTTTTTTTTTTTCATAGTTTTGCTAATTGATGCTGATCCAATCCCACATTAATTTATCTTCATAGAAGAGGCTGGGTTTAACCTGACTAAAGTAAGAAGAGGGAGAAATATCATTGGCCATAGAGCTATTTTGAATGTCCTGGGCCAACGTGGAGGCAACATCACAATGTGTGCTGCAATCACGCAGAATGGGATTCTCCACCGCCATGCCATTTTAGGTCCTTACAACATGGCCCACATTCTCACATTTTTAGACAAACTTCACAACATTGTCACAGCAGAAGAACAAATGGATGCAGAGCAGATGAGATACATTGTCATCTGGGACAATGTATCTTTCCACCGATCTGCTCTGGTCCAAAACTGGTTTCAGGATCAACCACAATTTTCACTCCAATACCTCTCACCATACTCTCCCTTCCTCAACCCCATTGAAGAGTTTTTTTTCGGCATGGCGGTGGAAGGTTTACAATCTCCAGCCCTATGTCAGGATACCCCTCATTCAAGCCATGGAGGAGGCCTGTGACCTAATTGATGCAGGGTCTGTGCAAGGATGGATTCACCATTCAAGAAGATTCTTCCCTCGCTGTCTTGCGAGAGAGGACATCGCCTGTGATGTGGATAAAGTGCTATGGCCAGATCCAGCTAGGCGAAGAGATGATGCTTAGGTTTTTTATTTTTTTTTAAATGTATTTATTTTTACTTGACTCATGCTTTTGTTTTGTCTCCATGTTTTTTGTTTGTGTAGTATATTGTATTTAGAATATGTTCTGATTTTCAGTGCAAAATGCAACCTTTTGTAAAAGCATGGATGTATTGAATGGTTTTACAATGTGGTGAGAAATATTTTCAATGTACAGTACTGGTCTTGTGTGTGTGTGGTGGGTTTTTTTTGGTCAATATATTCATGTACTTTTACTCTATCTCTGAAAAAAATCAAACCCAGACTATATCATTATAAAAGTTACAAGTGTTTAAGACTGAGCACAGCAGTGTGTAAATTAATCAATCAGAATGTATGAACCATGTGTGTTCCATACGGTGTCAAAGTTGGGTTTTGTTAAATTAATGGCAAGTTTTGAATGAAGTGTTTCATTTTGCAAAATATCTGAGGTGTTCTGCTGCTTGTGTGTGTGGATCTGTGTGTTGTGTTTTGATAAAATGAGCCTTGATTTTAAAATTGCTTAAGCAATTGTAAAAAAAAAAAGTAAATTGAAATGCACAGTTACTCAACATTCATTTGTGACAATGGACCACAAAACCAGTCAAAAGGTTCAATTTTTTGAAATTATGAGATTATGCATCACATGAAAGCTGAATAAATAAGCTTTCCTTGTAAGCTTTGATGTATGGTTTGTTAGGATCGGACAATATTTGGCTGAGATACAACTATTTGAAAATCTGGAATCTGAGGGTGCAAAAAATATATACGTATATATTGAGAAAATCATCTTTAAAGTTGTTCAAATGAAGTTCTTAGCGATGCATATTACTAATAATAATAATATTTACAGTAGGAAATTGACAAAATATCTTCATGGAACATGATCTTTACTTAATATCCTAATGATTTTTGGCATAAAAGAAAATTTGATAATTGTGACCCATACAATGTATTGTTGGCTATTGCTACAAATATCCTCCAGCGACTTAACACTGATTTTGTGCTCCAGGGTCACATTTCTCTCTGATCCGGCTATAAGGCACAGTACCAGGTCACCCGTCCGCAGAGTCCGCACTTCTAATTTTGCTATGGCCTTTTCATTCTCTCTCTTCATCTCCATCTGCACAGAAATGAATGACACAACCGAATGAGTGAGATTTCTGAATTTGACTCTGAACTCCACTGACTTCTGAGCGACTGAGCACTGTACCTCTTGCTTCCGGAGCTGCTGGTTTCTGTACATCCGTTTGATGAAGAGGAAAGCGAAGTAGAACATGGTGATGGTCGTTACGCCGATGAAGGTGAAGGACAGCGAGTATGCCCATGTGCTGCTGTACCACAGGCCGCGAGGATTGGCCACTACGATCGCCACATACACATCTGAGCCATTCTTCACCAGCTTAGCCATTTCTGTGCCTAGAATATTGCCAACCATGATGGCAACTATGTCTTTGGCATCTGTAGAAATAAAACACTGCAATGTTAACCACGACCAGTTCACTATAAAACTCTAGTATCAAGTTCATGCATGCTGTTAGACTCTTTGTGCATAACGTACAAAAAATCTCACTAGATGATTACAGTTTGGTTATATGCAGTTTATATGCAGTGTAATTACAATTTAAGTACTGTCACAGTGTCTAGTTGGTGTGCCCATGTATAGCCACCAGAGGGCACACTTCTTAGTTTTGTTTGTTTCTCTGGACTTCAGTTCCCTTCACCCTTTGCTTTAACTATCAAGTCTCATTACATTCAGCTGTGTCTCAATTACTTTGTTAACTCATCCACATATAAGCCCGGTTTTCTTTGTCTTTGGTTGCGAGTTTATTGTTTTCTGTTACACCCTGATTTGGATTACACTGTTTGTTTTTGGACTCTTTAATGAATCCTGCACTTGGATCTTCTTGTTTTGGAGTACTCCGTGACAAGTACAGAGTAATACTAATCAACAACATGCACTTATTATAGAGTTAGGATTAGGGTTTGGTTTAGGTTTTTGCATATGATTATGCATCATTTTCTGTTATTACTAGAGTAAGTTTACTGTAAAATAAAGTGTTACCTATAGTTCTCCATCACTATGACAAATTCCTGTCAGTTGGACTACGGAATATGTTGGTCAAAGGAATATGACTTCATATGTCATATGGAATATGTTGTTTTGCTCTCATCGTTGTAGATGTAGGAAAGTTTGTAGATGTAAACTGATATTTCCTACACTAACGCGAAGGCAAGTAGGCGTCATGGCCTCATTGACACATCTTAATACCAGGTTGAAGTGAGGCCATTCTGGTCATCCAGATACCTTGCAGTCAGATATCAAGCCAGACATAACGTCTGGAGAAAACACATCACAGAACAACAGCATTGTACAGTTTCAGGGAATGAAGTGGAACTCATGAACTCCTTGAGAAAATGACATCTCAGCGAGTCATAAAAACACATTATGGCGTCCTCGGGTAAAATTCAACTCACATAAAAGTTTACAGTGCCGTATCTGTACTGAACAAACAAACAGTCACCGTCAGTCACAGGAACATTCCAGCATTTAACACACACTTACAGCAAGACCTGAACAACAGCGATAACAATGTTGAAATATTTTTGTAATAACTATTGCAATAATTTTGAAATGTATCTACATACACAGCTCATTCAGTTCATTTATTTTTGGCAAGTTGGTGATTCAGATCACGTAACAGCATATCATAATTACTGAGGTCTGAACTCTGTCTGATTTAGTCTAAAAATTACAAATATCTAACATATATAACACTGACTGTATAAAAATTAATTGCCAGACGTAGTTTTTTTTTACCTAGAGTTTTAGCTAATCAACAGTTATTTTATGATATGATGCCACTGAAATGTAAAAAGCAGAAAGTAGATTTAGGTTTGGAGTTATTCATACAGAAATCACATGCCCTCAGGGTTGTCATGACTGTATATGGTCAGGTTATGATCACATGAACAGCTGATAGTCCTGCAATCAAGTAAAAACAAAGCTCTTTATAACCCACTTAGAAGGCATCAGACATCGAAGCATGGAAAACACATTGCTTGTCTACTAATGGTGCATTCGGTAGTTATTTAGCTAGCGTTAGCACTGCTGTTCTTCATGTACTTTAAGAACCGATAGCACAACAGTGTTAGATGCTCGAGTCAAGATCAAGTTTTATGTAAATGACACTGATACTGGTGAGTTTTAGAGAGTAGTTCACACAATTAATTCTCTTACCTGTACACCATTCAGATGACTCTTTACATAACCACATATATATATACTGTATATACAGTGGGTACGGAAAGTATTCAGACCCCCTTAAATTTTTCACTCTTTGTTATATTGCAGCCATTTGCTAAAATCATTTAAGTTAATTATTTTTCCTCATTAATGTACACACAGCACCCCATATTGACAGAAAAACACAGAATTATTGACATTTTTGCAGATTTATTAAAAAAGAAAAACTGAAATATCACATGGTCCTAAGTATTCAGACCCTTTGCTCAGTATTTAGTAGAAGCACCCTTTTGATCTAATACAGCCATGAGTCTTTTTGGGAAAGATGCAACAAGTTTTTCACACCTGGATTTGGGGATCCTCTGCCATTCCTCCTTGCAGATCCTCTCCAGTTCTGTCAGGTTGGATGGTAAACGTTGGTGGACAGCCATTTTTAGGTCTCTCCAGAGATGCTCAATTGGGTTTAAGTCACGGCTCTGGCTGGGCCATTCAAGAACAGTCACAGAGTTGTTGTGAAGCCACTCCTTCATTATTTTAGCTGTGTGCTTAGGGTCATTGTCTTGTTGGAAGGTAAACCTTCAGCCCAGTCTGAGGTCCTGAGCACTCTGGAGAAAGTTTTCGTCCAGGATATCCCTGTACTTGGCCGCATTCATCTTTCCCTCAATTGCAACCAGTCGTCCTGTCCCTGCAGCTGAAAAACACCCCCACAGCATGATGCTGCCACCACCATGCTTCACTGCTGGGACTGTATTGGACAGGTGATGAGCAGTGCCTGGTTTTCTCCACACATACCGCTTAGAATTAAGGCCAAAAAGTTCTATCTTGGTCTCATCAGACCAGAGAATCTTATTTCTCACCATCTCACAACTCCATGCGGGCTTTCATGTGTCTTGCACCGAGGAGAGGCTTCCGTCGGGCCACTCTGCCATAAAACCCCGACTGGTGGAGGGCTGCAGTGATGGTTGACTTTCTAAAACTTTCTCCCATCTCCCGACTGCATCTCTGGAGCTCAGCCACACTGATCTTTGGGTTCCTTCTTTACCTCTCTCACCAAGGCTCTTCTCCCCCGATAGCTCAGTTTGGCCAGACGGCCAGCTCTAGGAAGGGTTCTGGTCATCCCAAACGTCTTCCATTTAAGGAATGGAGGCCACTGTGCTCTTCGGAACCTTAAGTGCAGCAGA